AATGAAAGCATCACAAGAACACCGGGCCCGGGCCCCCCCCCCATCTCCCCTCCGCACCAGCGGCGTCCTTCAGAACGGGTCCACCGGGCAGCGCGCCGGCGTCTTTGTGGGTGGACTCTTCTTCACTCACCGTCATTATCTATCTCTCTCCCTCTCTCTCTCGCTCATACCCGCACAAACTCTCACACACACTCGCACGCGCAGTGCCGATCGCCTGGCCTAGAGCTCCGGACGACACCAGCACCAGCATTACAGAATTATCGAAATGGCCCCGGAGAGGTCTAGACACGGGCCGAGCAGTGATCCTCCACCTCCCAACGCCCCGCCCCGCCACTCCCCCGCACTACGTCTCAGCAAACTCATGCATCCTTTTCAGGCTGGCCCACGGCGCGGCCCCGGCCCGCTGACCTGTCCCTTTCCAATCATGCATGGTGTGTCATGCCTTCCTGGTCCAACTACCAGCCCCACAGCCAAGCTGAGCGGCCCGCGGCGCGCGTCTCTCGGTCAAGGTTTGCAATTATGGAGTTGCTATGCTATCTCCCGTAGGAAGGAAGGCGGCCGGCTGCGGGCTCCGACTGTTTATCTCTGGGCCCGGCCGGCTAAAGGCCCGACCAGTGCGTGAGGGCGCCTGCAGGGTAGGCCCGCCCGCTGTGCGGCCGTGCGCCGCGGGGCTGCCCGCCCGCGCCCGCCAGGCGGCCCAGCCTGGCACACCAGGGGTCCATAACTTAACGCATAAGGGCATTTTGGGTTAGGTTAGGCTCGTAAACGGCTTGCGTTATTGGCGTTATCGATCTTATGACTTATTCCCCTGCACATTTCTGCAATTTGTTTATATTCATAACGCTTTTAACTAGTCAATAACGCGAGATATTGATCATAACGTGTAGCTTAAAAGTTAAGTTATGGACCCCTGTGGCACACGCGTGCAATCAGCGTGCGAGCACCGCACCAGGCGTTTCTAAGCGCCGCGCCAGGCGTGCAAAGAACCGCGCCAGGCGTGCAAAGCACCGCGCTAGGCGTTTCTGACTGAGTACCGCGCCAGGCGTGCGAGCGCACCATGCATATTTACGCACCGGTAAGGGGACAGTATCTTGAAAACCTCTTAAAATCTGAGTAAAGAAGCAAAATCAAAAAAAGGGGTTTATAATTGTTGAAGTACTCACTTTAAAAACTCATTTGAGCTATGAAATGACCAAATCCATCAAAAAAAGTTGCGCATGAATTTTCTTAGCTTCAAAGTTTACGTAACTTTTAAATTCTCTGTGCGCAAAGTTTATTGGTAGATTTTGGAATTATTAATTCTAATAGAAATTACCACAACAATTATAAACCCCTCATTTGATTTTGATTCTTATTCAAGTTTTGACTTTTTTATCCCATTCAATTTGATGATTTATAAGTTTTCAGTAAACTCTTTCCTTGAGCAAGGGGCGGGAAGGGGAGGGGCTCGAAAAACTCGTGTACAAAAAAAATAGCGCGACGGAACCAATTTCGGATAAGATTTTGATATTGTCCATGCGAAGATAAACCTTTTTATATTTTTGTACACTCCTGCATCCCGGACAGTGCTCCCTTCTTGCCTGGACCCGCACCTTGGTATTTGACGCGCTCGCCCAACGTAAGCGTTACACAGCGGGCCGAATACGGCGAGAAGGTCCGTCGTAATGCGGTGCGAGGGGCCGTGCGGGTGCGAGGCGGGCGGCGGCCGCGCCCGTCTCTGTCGCTCTCGTTGGGGCAGGTCGCGCTCATTGACACTGTATTGGAGCAGTCGGGTGGTTTGACCTGCGGGCAGCCCCCTGTGGTTGGGAAGGGAGCAAGGGGACGGGGGGGGGGGGGGGAATCCCATGGGCTGGTGTGGTGTGAGAGAGGAAGTGAGGGGCATTCCTACTGACAACGCTGTTATAAATGACTCTCCAGGAGAAATTGGCGCAAGTTACGTTTTGATACGCGCGCGCGCGCGCTGATTTTGGACGCACTCTTTGCGGTCGTCGACAGCACGCGCATGTCAGAGGGAGAGCAACTGCAGTACTTGCAGCCTCCCTCCAGACAGAAAATACGTGCATAATGGTGGGCAGCCCATAATTTGTTGGCCAACCCAACAAAAAAAAGCAAAAGTTAGCCAACAAAAAGATGGCCCTTCAAATAAAAGAATGGTAAAATGTGGACCCGGGGGGGGGGGGCAAAAAGAAAGGGGCGATTGAAAAGAAAGAACGGTTCTGGTCCCAATCAACCCCTCACTCCCCTCATATGCCCACTAAGGACCTAACTTTTCTGGCGGCAGCGGGCCGTATCCCCTGACCATAGCCCCACAAAACGGACGGAAACAGGGGACCGTAAACCAAGCTTCCTAAATATTGCTGCGGGTTCGTTTTCGAAGATTAAAAAAATAAAAATAATAACCTCACAACAACGGCTCTCTGGACTGGGTTAGGTCCGTCGCCCTCTCGCTTCTTTTTCTACTTGTTTCTTTTCTAGTTTTCTACCCGCGTATTCGCCTCTAGTCACCTAACCTGTACTGGTCTTTCGGACATGTCTATTTCACCGCCATAGATAACAAATCGCTGACAAGAATTCCAAATACGCACCTTGGCTTGTGTCGAGAAATACCTTCTTTCTTGAACATCTGCAACGACGTAGTGGGTGCCATAACCTCCAAACGTAGAAGTGAAGCAGACGTATGATGACAGAATAATTCATTGTCATAGCTCAGTTTTAGTCCAGTTAAAAACCAAGCACTGTCGCACTATAACATTGATGACAGCCACGGCTAAAGTTCTGGTGCACTCGTCTAAATGAAAGCATCACAAGAACACCGGGCCCGGGCCATCGGTTCCGGTCGCAGGCGTCGCAGGCCCACTTTACTGACGCCATCTGACGCAGCTTCCGAATGGCACAGTCTCAAGTTTCAGAGCGCCCAAGTTTCCAAGCAATAATTCGTGTACTGGTATGGATGCGGCTAGCCTGCTTTTTCTTCCTGGGCAGCACACACACTAACACAAACACACACTTGAGGCCCAGCGCCCCCGCACTGAATGGCTCAGCTGATAGGCTGCTCCGTAACGCCGGGACGTTGCCAACCTGCCGTCAATGTGCTGCTAAAGGAAGGTCGCAACCAGAAGAAATTAAAGGAAACAACGTATAAAAGTGTATTTCAGAACTTGGCGTGAATAAGTAAAACGGAAGAAACAGGCAACTTGCGCAGGTGAGGAGTGAGGGCTGGGGTAGTAGGGTGGACCAGAACGTCTCCCTTGTAGCACATATTGTTCTTAGAACGTTTACGGAACCTTCAGAGAACCCAAAGAACGTTTTTAGAACATTGTCTGAATGTTTGGTGCTACAAGGGTGAAGTGGCGACTAGACGTATGCGCATCCAAAATCGCAATTTTTGTGTGATATGGATTCCGAATCTACTCACAGCGTATTTTCCAACGGTGGCCGCCACCCTGAAGACACCCGTTGTCATGTTCACGGGGCTGGCGGACACAGCCGGCCTTAGGTCCGTACTTTGGAGCCCCTTCCCTCCCTCCCTGTCCCTTACGGGACTCACACACTCACGGTCGGTGACACATCCTCCCCCCCCCCCCACCTTTATAGTTCTGTCAAGACTCACTCACAGAGGACGTTGACACTTCGGAAGGACGTTTCGGCCACGACCAGACCCATTCATATCATTTGTAAGTTGAAGCGCCGGCGCGATTCACTCTGAGAGCTCGTTTGGCGTGACATATTGAACCTCAAGGACACTTTAACGCATGATTTTGATTTTATGTTTCTTACTCCACTCGTCTCCGTCGTGCCTAGAAAGTCGTGAATGTCGCCCCAGTTTGTTTGAGGTTTTTAGATAGTCTCCAAATTAGACTGTCTTTAACCAGAGCGCAAAGTTCAACCCCCAACCCCTTCATAGCATACATTTGTAAAACGAAAGAAGGCGATTGCGGCGTATAGAAGGTAAGAAACTAGCCATCTGTTTTGCCAGTGTCTTAGCTGTCCCAGCATATCTGTTACGCAGTTTTCGCCTTCTTGCGCGTTATGATTCCTCATTAGTGAACGTGACCAACAATCACCCGTCCGCTTGTGACGAGGAGGTCCGGCGGCAGCTTCCCCATTCGGTGTCTAATCCAAGCAGGGCAGGATTCTGAAGGAGGGCGGGGAGGGCGAGGAGATACAGTTATGGAGGCTCCGTCGAGCGCGCTGGACTCATACTCGGGATCTTTATCTCACCCCCCCCCCCTCACGCCAATCTGCACGCCCGAGAAGCATTCTGGTAACATCAACCTAAGACTTCTGATTTCATCTTCCCTGAATTCCTTTTCTTTTCTTCTTTGCACTAATGCCGCATAGGTGACGCCAGGACGACTTCTCACCGAATACAACGCATTCTTAGTCGGCGAAAATGATGCCATCGTCACCAAATGAATCCCCTTCAAAATAATATTCTAATGTAGTGGCAACGCACCGGCTAGATTGGCAAGATGATCATCTTGGGGGTTCACATAGTGGTCACGACGCACTGAACGTGTTAAGTCGAACAGGTTCCAGGGTCGTTCAACATAAGTCGTACAGCTGCTGGAGACTCCTTTGTTGACAGTGCGGCTCCTTAACGATTAGTACAGCCCGCGCCCTGGCGCACCTTGGCGGGGGCGGGCCTGGCGGGCTCAGCATCGGACATGCACCACCGGGGCGGTCTCTTTCCCAACGACCACCGCCACGCCCAGACGGCGGCCCCTAGGCAGCAGCGGTACAGCAGTGCAGCGTTTTGGAAGAAGAGGCCGGGCGGCGCGTCCCAGCGGACCACGGCTCATTAATCCGAGGCTCGGCTGATCGGGGACCCTAATGCGGCGGCTAACGTGGCGCACAGGAGCCCAAGGGGTACTTCACTTACAACAAAAATCAGTGTACACCGCCAAAAAAGATTCGGAAAAAACAGAAAAAGTCACGGAGAAAACAGAAAAAAAAGAAAAAAAAAGAAAAAATCAGAAAAAAAGGAAAATATGATAAAATAAGAAAACACAGAAAGGCGTACGCTTGTATTTATAGCAAAGGACCCCTCGGGGCAGCCTCGCGAGGGCCCGGCGCGCTCGGCGCACAGAGTCACAGATATTGACGGCTGTGGATTGGCTTGGATGGCGGCGCATGTGCGCTGCTCTGCACAGCGAGTCGGCTCCGCGGTCAGTGGCGCAGAGTCAAGTTCACGTCGAAAGTCTGGCTGGACTGTGCGGCCGGGCCGGCGCCCGGCGCCCTCCGGTGTGGCGGCGCCCGTCCCGCGAGCAGGGGGGGAGCCCCCGGGCGCGACGCGTCCGCGTCCCTTCCTCGACGGCGACCTCCCTCCTCCCCGAACACGCCCCCACCTGACGCGCGCGGCGTATCCGACGTCCTTGCATCAGATGGAGATCGCCGCCCTCCTCCTCCACCCCTCCCTCGCCCTCTCGTGCCGCCCTCCACCTCGCCCCGCGCGCCTCGCACCTCGGCGACCAATCAGAAATCCTAGAGTTCATCTCTCTTACGTCATCTCGTCACCGTACCGGGCGGCTGGTCCCGCGGCCGGCCCCACCGCCCCCACCCATCCCCCGGAGAGGCTCCGCGCGTGGCCGCCGCCGTCCCATCCTGGAGCATCCCCCCGCCGCCGCGCCAGCCGCCCCCGGACAGCCCCTGCGGCTGCCCCCGGGGCCGGCGCCGCCCCCACGCCGCCGTCGTCGCGGTGGTGGTGGGTGCCGAGGTATATAAAGGCTGGCGAGAACGGTGGGAAGTCAGTCGACTAGACCCGCTCCAACCCAAAACATTGTGTACTCAAGTCTGCTTCTGCAGAGGTAAGAAGTGAACGTGTGTGTGTGAGCAGTGTGAGTACGGGCGCTGCCCACAGTGCGTGCAGTGACAAGTGCAAGACGAACGTGTGAGTGAAGTGCAATAGTGCAAGTGCAGCAGTGCTACGGACCATCTGAAGTTCACGGAATACTCACCACCAGCGACCACGGAAAAGGGTCTAGTATTGAAAACACCCCGCCCCAACTCCTAATTTATTTTACGATTCAATTATTCTTACTTTTCAACATGATTTTAAAGTCAAAATTTTCTTTTTCTTTTTAATAAGAACAACCTTCAAACTTTTGAATTCGTTTTTAGAAAATATCAGTTCTTGAAAGATTTAAATTCATTTTTGTATTGCCTATCACTTGACCATTGGATTGACCATTTTGTACGAATAAGAGTAATTGCATTTTTACGTCGTGCTTCGTTGTTGCCCCCTGATGGCTAGGCTGCCCGCCGTGTCGGCCGCACGCGTGAACAAACAAAGCAACCGCCGACGCATGAATATTTATTTATTCACTGATTCGTCGGAGATAGGCCTACGAGGGTCATTTTTCTCACCCGCACTTCTCAATTAATTCTTGTATTCTCCCCGCCCCTCCCCCCTCCCTCTGTTCCAAGTCGATGTGTGGTCGTATTGCACGAAACATGTGCGTGTATCTGCCTTCATTATCAGTCAGTATCCCCGCTTCCGCGTGTGTCAGTTTTACCGGGAGCAGAGGCATCGCGAGTTTACTTCTTTGCTGTGAGGTGGTTAAGTGTCCTCCTCTCGAAACGTGGCGGTGCGCCCCGGAGACCCGCACGCAAGGCGACGGCACCACGCTCGCAGCCGTATTCATTTGTTCTCACGTTTGCCTTACATTTTGTACGATGCTCATTCTTGTCCGCGCTTCCTGCTCGCCCGTGGTTATTCCTGCCATCTGCACCTGATTCCAATCCAGTCTGTCCCCCTTCATGTCGCCGAACTATCCATACCGGGCAATAGGGATGTTGCAGTTCACTTCTAACATTTATTTGTCGGAGGGTGCTTTTGTTTTTCTCGTGACCTAGGCAGCGGTGACACTTGCTCGGCGGCCCTTTGGACCGGCCACACGTTTGGATGAGAAATGTCACGATCCACTTTGTGCAGACTGAGCGATGCACGCTTGCACACCGCGGCCCTGTTTCATTCCTGTCTAGGAAAAAAAAATCACAACAGTGGATTTTTTTCATTTCACTTTTTGTCCATTTTAAAAAGGAAACTTGTAAAAATTTGAGGGTTGAGGGTTCAGACACTTCTTTTGACCTCGAAGTCTAGTGTAAATGTTCTTAAAATCCTTTCTACCAAAACCAGCAGAAAACAATAATTGCGACTAATCCTTTCGATCGTTTCGCGAAGCCCCACTTCTTTACTTCTGGTGCACCGTGAAGCAACTCGCGGAGCACGCCGAGGGCCAGTAAGCCGACCGGCTATTAGGGTGCGCTTACAGCGCTGGCTGAACTCCGACCTCCTCCATCGCCCGATCCCTCCCCTCCCCTCCTTTAATATCATACCCGCTCATTACCGCCCGGCCCTCCCCACACAGCCCCAAGCTACAAGTAACGCGTGACCACACGCTGGGGCCGCTTTGATTGACAAAATTATGGCATCTATCGTTGATTGCGGAATTTCGGCCTCTTTTTGATTTCTCTAGGATTCAAAGTTATTGCAAAAATTTTGCAGTTTAAATGGCCAAGGGGGGACCCGCCAGAGGCCTCGTATAGAATGCGAAAAAAATAGGCAGTCACAAAAGGATGCCAAAATTTTGGCAAGCCCAGCGGCTGCGGCATTTCGAGTGTGCATGCTCCAGCGGCGGCCGCGCGTTCTAATATCGCGCGCCGCGGCGGCGTCTCTTTCGAATTTTTTAAAAGGAAATGTTAATCGTCTAATTTTCCCCCCGCGCGCTTCATTGCCACGCGCGCTCTAGTCTCCCATTCCAGTCCGTTTTTGTGACGCTCCCCGCCGCGCCCGTCCCGGCCCGGCCGGGTGTCAAGGCTCCGGCATCAGTCATTCAAGGGGACCGCGTGATGAGGAGGGCGGCCGGCGCGGCGGTCGGGGAGGGGTGATAATTGCCTGCTACTTATCAACATTTTATCGCCGCGAGAACCAATCCCTCCCACGCCGGGCGCGCAGGCGTGCAGTGAGGCCTTCCCCCTCCGCCCCTCGGGAACAGGGCTGCGCACGCGTGTCGTCGGCTCTACGC